AGAATGTTTTTATATACTAGAGCTATTTTCAAACAGTCCTTTAATCTTTACCACCATTTAAAAATTAAGGAAAATTAAATTTATAATACATGCTGAAAAATGGTTCAAAACTACGATCTTAAAAGTTTATCATTGCTCTTAGTTGAGTATTTAATATTTGGAAAACAATGAATAAATGTGACATTCATCACAAAAATGAATAATTTTATTGGAAGTAAAGTGGTAAATTGTTTTTTTTTTTTTAATAAATATAAATATGGTTTGCTGTCTTATTGACTTGAATCCAACTCTCACTTTATTCATACTGATAATACAAAGCGTTGCATGCAATTGTCCTCATCAATAAAACTGACTGATGTGAATTGTAGGAATTAATCCTTTTTGGACCCTACATTGTATAGCATGTGGAACATTCCGATAATTCAAACACAATTATAGTGTTAAACAACCTCTGTGATTACGGACATTATAAACATCAATTGATATTTTATAGTGTGTCTTTCTATGTTGTGATGTTACACTATTGTTTCAGATAAGGGTGAACCTTTGGTACCATTAAAACGTTTAAACCCGCTGCAATTGTTTGCACCTGTCCTAAGTCAGGAATCTGATGTTCAGTAATTGTCGTTTGTTGATGTGGTTCATAAGTGTTTCTCGTTTCTCATTTTTATATAGATTATACCGTTGGTTTTCCCATTTGAATGGTTTTACACTAGTAATTTTTTTAAGCCCTTTATTACTTGCATTTCAGTGTGAGCCAAGGCTCCGTGTTCAAGACCGTACTTTGACCTATAATGGTTTACTTTTATAAATTTTGACTTGGATGGAGAGTTGTCTCATTGGCACTCATACCATATCTTCTTATATCTATGTACATGTACAGTGATTTTAAACGTGTAGAAAGGCATGCTCATTTGATTTTTGCAACAAATGATGTAAATATTTTCAATGTTCAATTTTTGTATACAGCTGTCATTACTTAAATTGATTTATCAGCTTGCGTTCATGTATACATTTCCTTCCTCATAACAATATTGTATTTCAACGCTTTAACATTTTGAGTGTCTCTGAAAACAGGTAATACAATTATATATTTTTTTGAACATTGTGTTTTTTATATTAGAAAATGTAAAGTAGACTAGTATTCACAAAATCAAATTATCAAAGAACTATAATCGAAAGTTGTATTTTAAACAGATAGTAGTTGTCTTCAACAACAATAATTAATCGCCGTGTCGTTAATATTTTTTGTCGTGCTGTAGAAAATCTGACAGTTGCTCCTTATACCCTGGTTTAAACGCCACTCAAAAATAAATTTTGTTTTCTAGAAATTTCCCAAAATTAGTCGCGAGGCCAAAAAAAACGACCGAAAACATTAATTAAAATTATAATATTTTTTTCATTTTATGCATTTCAATGATTTATGAATACGAAATCCCATAATATAGTAACACAATTGTTCGATTAACTTATATTATGAAATTACATAATAATGTGTTATTTCATAATATATGTCTAATTTGTAATCAACTTGGTCGCAAAAACACACAAAAAATATATAAACTACTTTTCACGCATTATATGTATTACTTCGTCATTGGTTCCCTTATTTTTCTGCCAAATAGATTACATAAGTGCAGAATAATGCCATGCTCAGAATGTTTCTGTATCACTAAAAACAGATAAAATGTTATCATTTGAAATAAGTACTCTATTGAGCAATTATGCATTTTAATGTCACTAGATGATGAAAATAAAATTAATATAACAGTAAAGATATTTAAAGCTTTGTTTGGGTTGATTAAAATGTAATTATTTCTTTATTTATAAGGAAATTATGACCCGCCATTGGAATTTATTACTTTTTTGTACATCAGGATCGGTTTGTTTTTTTTTGTTTTTTTTTTTGTCTTCAAATAATGATAAATATCAGAGTAAAGCTACTAAGATTGTGTTCGTACTGTTTAAATATGCCAATTTTTCTTCTTTTTATCCAAAATGATGCAAATTTAATTGCAAAATTATTAACCGCCAGGATTGGTTGTTTTTTTTTTTATAAAATATGCTGAATTTCAGGGAAAAGATACCAAAAATTCTGTTCGCATTGCTACGAAATGTATATTTTTCTTCTTTTATGTCCGAAAAAATGCAACGCCATTTGCAATCAGTCATTCTAAATGCCTTTAGATACGTAATTTTGTATAAAATGTGAATAATATAATGATAAAGATACTTTAACTTTTGTTTGTGTTGAATAAGAATGCATTTAATTTTTTGTTTTAATAGAAATCATGAACCCCCATTGGAGTTTAGTACTTTGTTTAGATCATATTCGATTGTTTTTCATCAAATCAAATGAATATCAGAGAAAAGATACTAAACTGTTGTTCGCATTGTTTAAAATTACCAATATTTTTTTTTCTTTTTAACAAAAATAGTGCAATGTTACTTTTGATTAGTTATTTCAAAGACCTTATGATAAAATCTTAATAATATAGGGAGAAAAATACTTAAACTTCGAACGACAAAATTATCTTATAAATTCTTCAAGTGTGACGTTTACATTTTCTGGCGTCAAACACGACTCTACACTAAGAGTAGTTGTGAATGCAGTCACAGGATTTTGAATATTTCAATCCTTTATAGGTTGATTTATAATACATTTATAAGTAAGCAATGAATGTGGTTGTTATATTTGATAGTTGCTTTTTGTGCTTATTTGTCAAATATTTGTTTGTTTTGAGATTGTGACACAGTGATGACTGCTGTACCCATATTTTGACAATGTTACCTATGATGTCTGTTTTGTGCACGCATCGTTGTAACTATAATACAAGTGAGAGTTAAGCGCTATAAAACCAGGTTCAATCCACCATTTTATACATAAGAAAATGCCTGTACCAAGTCAGGAATATGACAGTTGTTATCCATTCGTTTGATGTGTTTCAGCTTTTGATTTTGCCATTTGATTAGGACTTATATCTTGAAATTGACTATGAGGGTCGGTTGAAAACACAACTTTACGACAAAAGAGATGATTTCAGCATTTTTAAACCAAGAGATCCAAATGGTGAAGTTGTACTCGTCACTTCGTAAATATTACGGACGCCATCACGAGTTGGTTGACCGTTATGGAATATTCGTTGTACAGTTGATATCGGATATGTTCCTTATGTCGTAACTACAATCCCCTTCCCTTTTCACGAATGTGACTTATCAATTAGACTATTTAACGGCTTTGTAACAACATGAGGAACACGAAGGGTGCCACATGTGGAGCAGGATCTGCTTCCCCTTCCGGAGCACATGAAATCATCCCTAGTTTTTGGTGGGGTCCATGTTGTTTTTGATCCTCTATTTGTGACATTTTGTTCACGCATCATTGTCAATTTGATAGAAATTGATGCGACTGCCGTACATGTGAGAAGTTTAGCGCTATAACACCAGGTTCAATCCACCATTTTCTACATTTGAAAATGCCTGTACCAAGTCAGGAATATGACAGTTGTTGTCCATTCGTTTGATGTGTTTTATCATTTGATTTTGCCATTTGATTAAGGACTTTCCGTTTTGAATTTTCCTCGGAGTTCAGTATTTTTGTGATTTTACCTTTTTTGTTTGTGTTGAATAAGAATGAAATAATTTCTTTATTTTAATAGAAATTATGAATCGCCTTTGGATTTTAGCACTTTTTGTAAGTAAGGATTGGTTGTTTTTTCATAAAATTAAATGAATATCAGAAAAAATATACTAGAATGTTGTTCGCATTGTTTGAAACTACCAATATTTGTCAAACTTAATGCAATGTTATTTGTAATTAGTTATTTCAAAGGCCTCAAGATAAGTTTTTTTTTATTAAAAATTTTAATAATATACGGTGAAAAATACCGAAACTTTTGTTTGTGTTAAACACGAATGATTTTCTTTTTATTCTAATAGAAATTATAAACCGCCATTTGATTTCAGTACTTTTTGTACATCAGGATTGGTTGTTTTTCATAAAAAAGCAAAATTTTCTTCTTTTTTATCAGAAATAATGCAACGTCATTTGCAAGCAGCCATTAGTAATGCCTTCATATAAGTATTTTTTATAAGATATGAATAATATAAGGATAAAGATACTTTAACGTTTGTTTGTGTTGAATAAGAATGGAAATATTTCTTCATTTCAATGGTTTCATTGTTTAAAAATACCAATATTTCTTCTGTTTATCAAAAATAATGCACTGTTGTTAGCAATCAGTTATTTCAATTACCTTTGGATAAGTTAATTTAAAAAAACATTGAATTATATAGGGATTAAGATATGTAAACTCTTCTATGTGTTTAATAAGAGTGCATTTTTATTCTCACTTCATTAAGATTTAATTACACAAAAACCATCATTGGATAGAATTATTTTTGTTGGGTTGTTCCCTTAAAAAAAATATGATTAATTTTGAGAGAAAATATTCTTTATATTTTATTTGCATAGTTTTCGAGTCTCCAACTTGCTTATTTCTTTATTTTAAAGAAAATTATACACAGACATTTGTAATAAATGATCATTTCATTTCGTTTTTCAGACTATTTTCGGAATTGTTTTTTAACAGTCGCGATAACCACCGTTTTAGAACTCTTCTGGTTTGAAAAAAATAACCTTAATAAAACGACAATCACAAATCTTTAATAATATTTAGATTTTGTTTTATTTGCATCGCGGGTATGTTAAGGCATTTTTTTCAGGGGCAAATAACTCTTGTGATGCTCATGAATATTAATAAGCAACGTTGCGTCTCCATAGTGACGACGCTGTCCGCTTCATTTCTCTGGTCGTCAATCGCTCTTTTTATTTATAAACTATGCAGAATTAGATAAATAATGATAATTTGTTGTAATTAAAAACCATATGTCACATTATTTTACAAGCCATAACTTGTATTGTATAAAAATCCTTCTTGTTGATCTCTCAACGGAGGCGTGGCTTATTTTCCTTATTTGGAAAACCAATTCAACAGGAAGCTTGAAACCCACATGTTTTGAACGGACGGATTGTTTTGGTTGCATAAGGCGAAGAATGGCCCATTTACCCAAGGATTTCAGCAAACAAGTAGAATCGTACGACATACTTTGACTATGAGTAAGTATTCTGTCGTCTTTTTGCTGTTTTCTGTAGCCGACTATCTTCATTTTGTCAAAAATCTACCCTTGAAGTTGTATTATATTATCCCCTTTTTTTCCATCTGCTTAGTAGAATTTAGAAATTATCCCTGAACTATCTAAAATGCAAGTCCTTTGATGGTCCACAGTGTTTATGTGTAATTTAGGTGAAGTTTTAGAATACCCATGAGTTGATCTGGAAATTTGTTAAGCTATAATTACACTTTTTGATATAAAAAAATTAATCTGCTCTAGAAAGCCTATGCCATGCTTGGCCAGTTGACATTCATTCTGTTTGAATTCATGAATCATGGATATAATTTCTTTTGAGAGCGAGTGATATCAGAACATGAGATTGGCAATTATGATAACAAGTTGCTGCCAGGTCTAAAATGAATCTTAAGGCAACTTTAGTAGAAGAAGACACTAGACTGAATTTTCAACAAGACCCCACCTCAATATTTATTATCAATATAAACTGTATTGAGCACCTTTATTATCACAGAGTTTATAACTTCGTAGACAGCGTGTAGGCAAGACACTGCCAGATGTTTTGAAGTTAGCAATGTACATGTACAAACTACACTTTCCCTCAATTTCAAAGCTGCATCATGCAAGGTCAGTTTTAAAACGTGCCAAAACAACAGAAATTCTAGATTTTTATTCACATAAAGACTTGAAAAGACTTAAGTGTAACTGTATGCTGATTGAATCTTATATTCCTTGGTTGCCACAGGCCAGATACTTATTTTCTAAAGAAAATTTTGCATAGTACGTATACCTATTCGTCTGTAGTGTAAAAAAATGTAGTACATGTACTTAATAAATAGAAATTCTGATACACCTAAAAGAAGTTTTTAAAAACCTGGGCTATTGGTCCTATGCTCAAGTGTAAATCTTATATATATACAAATGTATATACCCTTATTTTATTCTGTATGCTACTTTGTACATATGTACATGTTGTAGTGCTTTAATATGTAAATGAATAAAAGGAGATGTAGGGTGTACATTGTACATTGTTTGTGTACATAATCATATATCATGAGACAGCTACCCAAGTTCTTTCTGTTCAACATGTTTTACTTCCAGAATAAAGTTCATTTTTGTTTCATTCTGTTTATCATGTTTATATAACCATGATAACAGTCTTTATGAAATATGTTACATGTATTAAAAGGGAAAATAAATATTATAATTATTCAACCTAAATTGATGTCATGTATGTGGAGGTGTCTTCGAAAATATTGAAAAACAAATGTCACCCACGGAATCAAACAAGTACCAAATAAAAAAGATTTACAATTGTATCCGTCAAGGATATACCTCTATAGTACAAAAACTAACATACATTTGTTATTGTGGACTACAAAATCAAAGAACTGTGATAACATATGTATGTTACATGTTTCAAAGGGACAATATACATCATTAGTTTTGTTAAAATGTATACAAGTTCTATTGATATTACTATTGTCTTTATGTATACTTATAGGCGAGTGACTTTAACCATAAAATTAAATTTTTAATGCACCCACCTAACACACGGCTAAATTATATATCATTTGAAAGCTACACATCTGTACTATCTGTTTTGCCCGGTCGTAAAAAAATCGTACGGTGCAATTTCCGTCAAATCAAGATCAAAGGCCAAGGACGAATAAGTGCATATTTTCTAAGATTTCAACTTGATTGCATAATATGACTTTTATATACTAAATTCACATATGCAAACCAATTAAACTTTTAACAGAGAGATAAACGGTCATTAATCAAATGCATTTTAAAATATTTAAAACGTGTTTTTGATAGACAGCACATGTTTCCTGAAATTCGAGTAAAAGTTAACAAAATGTGTGAAAACCCAAATGTTTCTTTCTGATGCAACTGCTAATCACTTAAAACTAAGTAAAACCTTGTAATAACTATCAAAGAAGTTTTTGACATCATAAATTTCCTAAAATTATGCTTACTTCTAATCAAACAGCAAATCATAACAACGCATGCAGTTGCCCAAAATACCACCATCTGCGAAAAAAAACAGCTTTTAAGCATTTCTTCCTATTTAAACATTGTATGTGGTCAATATAAGATTTAATAAACAAATTCTTAAGAATCTGAAAAATTTAAAGTAAAAAAAATATGTGTGCGAATCATACTATTGCTTAGAATAAAGGGGGCGAAACTAAGAGATTGCAATCTGCATTGTAACTACCAGACTGAAATAAACATCTTTTGACTTTTCTAATTGTTTGATTTGTAGCTTCATTATGAATATTGATGTAGTGAAAAGACCTTTTATTTATTTAATGTGAACCATAAAAAATAAATTGAAAATTTAGACAAAAATAAATAAAAAATAAATTGATGAAAATTGAAATTTAAAAGAATTTAAAAACCAGTAAACACATTATAAAACTTGACTTCTTGATTGCTTAAATTGCGTTGTTCATTGTTTAAATGCATTAATTCATCAAATAAGAATAATTTTGAAGAAAAAAATCCATTAATACGCAACGATTCTAGTTACAACTAGACTTTCTGAATAGCTTGAATGACTAGTTCATTTTTCATAGGAGGATGACTTCATGCAAGAGCTTCTGATGACGACTGAAAAGAAGCTACCATTATCTTGAAACTTCACTTTCCACTATATAGATGATGTCATCTCGCTGAATAGTGCCAAATTTGTCACAATGTTGGACTCGTATTTTCCATTGAAATTAAAAAAAAGACTCAACAGATATAGTTTACTCTCACCACTTATCTTGAAATCGACGATGAGGTTGGTTGAGAACAAGTTTTACGACAAAAGAGATGAGCATAAATCAGCCCATAAAAACACTCCTTACTAACCAATTATAAACTTTTCATTTCTATGTACATTTGTAGCAACATTATAGCAACACCTGCATATCTATACTATTAAAGGAGGAGACCGATTTCATTGAGCCTCAACTCCTCTGAAACAATAACAAGTCGGAATATTTATGATATGACGTATAAATGTAGGGTTTTGCATTTCCTAAATTTGTCTTTGCATGCTCAGTCGACGTACTGCCCGCAAAATTAAATAAAACTCTTTATTTAAACACTTCCCCAATTGTAACGCGATTTCGCGGCATCTTCTTGTGGAGTATATATCTCCAAGTTGATACAATATTCCAGAGCTTGCATTTACTTTCACGATTGTCGTGATAGTTCGTAACTGCTCACAATGAAAATATTAAATAAAGGCAACTATAGTATACCGCTATTCAATAGTAATCAATCGATTTACTTGTAACTGAAACAAATCCGGGTCACAAACCAAACCCGTGGGAAACGCATCAACTATAAGAGGAACACAACGGAATAACAGAAACACTGAACTGTTACAAAAACAAACATTAACATACAAAGAAACAGATTATTCGATACCAACTGCCATATGCCTGACTTGGTACAGGACATTTGAAAAAAATGGTGGTTTGAACATGGTTTTAAACCAGAGTTCAAATGCAAAGTTGAAATCATCACTTTGAAAATTTTATGGACGCCACTACGAGTTGGTTGACAATTATGAAATATCTGTTTTGCCAGATGACGACTGATAAGTTCCAATCGACGTAACCAAAATACCGTCATTTCTGCCTTGAATGTCACCTACCGAATAAGGCTTGGCACCGAGGTAGGAATTACACGAGCCACAAGACGGGTGTCACATGTGGAACATGATCTGCTCACCCTTTTGGAGCCCCTGAGTTCACCCCAAATATTTTTGGGGGGTTTGTGTTACTCAATCTGTAGTTATATATACTGTGTTTTGTATACTGTTGCTTGTCTTGTTCGTTTTTTGCCCGGCTTTGTCAGTTCGTTTTCAATTATGAGTTTGATGTCCCTTTGATATTTCGTCACTCTTCAAGTAGTAAAAGTTTCTAAAATTGTAGATCATTGTAGTTAAATGTATCATGATAACGATTTGGTTCTATATATATATCACCGTGAGCAAATTAAGTTATTTTCGCGGATATTTGTCTTATTGCGTTAATCTTCTTCACTTTACCTTGAGGCGATTTTTTTGCCGATTTTCATTACTGCAAGTTAATATCTTTAAAGGGAAATAATACCAAAGGGACAATCAACATCTCAAACCATGAATCAAATAAACTTAATTAAAACAACGAACAAAATAAAATTAAAGTCCAAGAGAAGAACAACAGTTCACAAAACACAGCATAGCATGAAAACGATCACTGCCTAAAACAGCGAATGATTTTATGAGGTCAGGAAGGTATTCAACTTTTTCATTTTTTTATTTCACAACTGCTTATAGTGTTTTACATACACAATGACCTGCATTTGTATTTTAAAAGCTTATGTTGAAAATACTCAGTCCTATCTCTATACCTTTAAAATTTGGTTTGTGAGAATAAAGATATATAGAAGCATCTTTTATTAAAATAATTAAAGAGATTAAACTTCTAAACACATTTAATAAGTCTAACACGATTTTAAACTAAATAAGAAGCAGCAGCATTATATGTAGTTCGTTTACATCCCGCTTTAGACAACCAAGTGTTTCTAAACAAGGTTACTTATTTCAACGATTTAGTCGCAAAGTCATGTTTGCATTTAAACATGATTAAAAAAAGTAAATAAGTTTGACTTCGTAAAAAACATATTTTTACCTCAATTAGCTCGTATATATTCTTTTCGAACTTTAAATACCCCTTCTTTTATTATGGAAAATCATTGTACTCCCTGATATTGACAATTAGCGATGTGCTATCTTAACAAAGAATATCAAAATGATCGCTATTTGCAGATGGCAGATTTTTGGGCAACTGCAAACACTTCAATAGAAGGCTGTTCTATGAACAATAATTAATAATTGCATCTTAAAATTCCAAAACAAATGTTCCTTGACCTAAAACATATTATTTATCTATTTTGTTTTGCATTTTTTGTTTTTACAAATATCGATCCCCCAAGATATATTTTGCTTTTGGAACAATTTTTCATTTTTTTAGGATTTGTGATGAATTTCAATTTTCGGGAAATATTGCGCATATAACCTCTTATTTTTTGTTTGATTTGGAAATAATGTATTTTGTTATATAAAGTTCATATGATCTTTTGAAAAATTTTATGGTACAAGAATTAGAAAATGGCTTTTTGTTTAGTAATCGCAAAAATTGGAATGTTTTTTCATGACCTTTGATCTTGATTTAACAGAAAATGCACCGTACGATTTTTTTACGACCGGACAAATCAGAAAGTACAGATTATTAGCTTTCGAATGATATATAATACAGCCGTGTGTTAGGTGGGTGCATTAAAGTCGTTAACTAAGCGTCTTTTTGAAATAAGTCACTCGCTTATTAAGTATAGAAAGATATAACAGTTCATAGTTTGCCAATCATGCATAGTATACCTATGTTATTACAGAAAAAGTATGTCTGTAATAACTAAAGGGTGTTATTACAGCTTCTCTACATCACTCCAAAGCATTTGCTCAGACATACATCATGCCTAATTACAATGTATTTTAATTTATTGTAAGGAAAAATGATCAGAGCATGTAATGAGGTTCTGCGCAAGCTTCCCAGTAATTACCAAGTGTCTCATATAGTAAGTTACATGCCTTAATTAATAACTAAGCCTTGTTATTACAGCTAAGTGTATCCCTTAAAAGCCTCGTCTCATTGATTTATTATGGTTAATGAAAAATGTATTAATTCAAAATTTAGTTATCATGGCTATGCATTTAGTTTCTGCGCAAAGTTTCAAGAGTTCCCTAGAGCCCACTAAAAATTAAAATATTTATGATTTATTTTACAAATAACAAACATGTTATTACAGATTTAGAAAATTTAAGGATTAAAGAGTAGACAACTCATGAAAGTATCTGTAATAACACATGCAAGATATTTTCTGTAATAACCCTATAGAGTTATATCCCTGACTGGTATCTAGCTTTCCTCTCTTATAAAATAATATAAAATAAGTAATATTAAAACTGGAAAACATGTTATGATTGCCAACAACTCTCAGCATGAACAGATCTAAATGAAGTAGAAGTTAACAACTATAGGTCACAGTGTTCTCCCCAGACACTTTGTTTAGCATCTTGGTAAACTGGGAAATTAAAAATATCATCTCGTTATTTTTTTGTTTTATGTCACGAGTATCATTTTACTTATATATATGACAATAAAGAATTATTATAAAAATTATAGCATCACATTCATAACATTATCTATACCAAAACTAACTCAGATACAGAGGTGGATTCAATGGGGAGGGGGGGGGGGGCTGAAAAAAATTAGAAAATCACTGAAGCATGACAGGAGCGGGCCCCTGCTTAGGCAGTCAATGCAGTGGGTCCCAACTTATGAACATTTCCGGATCCGCCACTGGCTGAGATAGCTTCACATTCAAAAAATATAGCATCACATTTCCATGACATTGAAAGACCCTGGGGATCGCGAACACTGGTATGACTGGGTTGCTATATGGCGTTTAATGCTAATTTGGTATAGTTTTGAAGTTAGAATATTCACTGTTCTGAAATGTATCTGTATAATCATTTAAAAAAATTAAGACATAAAATAAATTCGTCGTTTCGGAATATAATGCATTCTGGGTAATATTTTCAAAAGCGTTCACGAAAAAGTTGTTATTGGCTTAACACGTATTGAATATTGGAATTCCATTCAATGATGTGACGTTATTTTCATTTTGGTGTACGAACAATGGGATTACCCATAGTCCTATAGATTTCGAAAAGGCGAATTACCTACCTGAACCTTTTTGTTTCAACTTGGAGGCTGGAAACAAGCATTTAATTAAAATTTGTTTTGGACTGAAGAAAATTAAATTAACAAACAATTTTTGTTTTGCAAAAACTTGTTATATTTATAGTTAGCGACGACTGTTTTACAAAAATGTTAGGTGGATAGTGTTAAGTTTTTAATACCTTTTTTTTACAGAATTATTGCATGTATACTTGGAATACAATATAAGTCATACATGTTTATATATGAACATTATTTGTATCTGTAATACTGCTTACTGGATGGGTTCTTTTTTGTGTACACAATTGTAAATTGTTTCTTTTTATTATTACAGGTTCAAGATGACAATGATGAGAACAAAAGTGCAAAAGATAAACCTTACATGTACTAATAAATTGCAATAATTGACTGCAGAATGTATGAACAGTTGGTAATCCACAGGCTTTGTGTCAAAATACTTCGTTTTCAACACATATTTTATCGTCATCCAGAAAACATGGAAAACAATGTGTTCAGGGCAACAGTTAACTTCCCAACCAGACATTCCACAGTGTGATCATGGTGATGTCAAACAGCATGTTAAAAACATTAATTTGATTAAATATTTCTTTTTATGCACTGTATTTACAATTTCATGAGCATTGATGCGTAATTAGGTCAGATCGATTTCAGATTTTTATGTAAGTTATTGAGTCTTTCATCACCATTATTTATAGGTCTCTGTACAGCGTTCAACAATGAGTAAAACTTTTATCATGTGCATTATACATGTTTTATATGTACATTGTATAAAGCTGAAAAGGCCCAGGATGACAAAATGTGAATGCAAATTTATTTTGTTGAGAAAATCTTAATAATTACCTGAGTTATGCTACATTAAATACACAAATTAATAAATAATGACAGACAGCAACCAAAAAAAACAACATCAGCTTTAGCTTGAGAGACTGGCATATAAAATGTGACATAGTAAACATGTTTTTGAGAGTTTTACTGCGACATTAACATGATTAAGAAAGGGAATTATATATCATGTATGGGTACATATAAAAATAAGAAAATGTGGTTTCATTGCTAATGAGACAACTCTCCGCAAGATGGACAAGCAACTAAATGACGTAGAAGTCAACAACTAAAGGTCAGTGTAAGGACTACAACTATGAGCAAAATTCATACAACATAGCCATTTAGCTTAAATGCTCATCTTGTAAATTGTACTGCCTTTAACAATTGAGGGTGTTACAATAAAAAGAAACCAGAAAAAAGTTCAACCCTGAGAAATCCTTAGAAAATTGTGTAAATAATGACAAATGAAACATGCAGTGGTGGATCCAGGTTTAAAGTTTGAGATTCAGGTTGTTCAATAGGAGGCGGTACCCTGTACTTTTAATTCCCATGTTACGGAAAGTTTCATGTACATTCACCAGCTAAATTTAGGATTTTTTATATTCTTGTAATATATTTAAAAGAATCTACTATAAGGTGAAAAGTGTCAGTCAACATGAGAGATAATTAAAACCCTGGCAGCTAGCTTAATATAGATATCAAGGAATACCAGCAATTGACAAGTTCAAATTCCAAGGACAATGCAGAAAAATAAAATAAATATATCAATAGCTCAATCAAAACTGATGCCAAACACAGAAAACATGCAAAAGGACATCAGTTATGGTAAAAGAAATATTGAAAGACGTTAAACATAAAAGCAACGATTTGGTATTAAACATGAATCCCAGGAAAAGTTGAACTTTTACACGTATGTTCCATTAGATTGTATTTGGACAGAAAACATACTAAGTCTTTCAGTCATGTCAAATTTACAGATACATGTATTCATAAATTATTGTCATTTTGATTATCAAAATTAGACACAGATGAGACTTCTATGTTTATTTATTTTTCTTCCGTTTCACATTGCCCTTTTTCAAACCGCTCAAACTTTATATACATGTACTGTAAATTCAGAAATTATTGAATGCGAATTAATGTGACTAGGTTAGTATCGCAATAATAAGAACTTGCATTCTTGTAACTGAAACATACACATTTATGCAGAATTATTTGAAATCACAATAAATAAACAATTCTTTTAATATAACCTAAGAGAAAAGTGCTGCGCGCTTATTGAATATGAAACTGTAATCAAAATAGGAACGAAACTATGTACAAGTTTAACGTTATATGCTGCCGGGTAAATTAAAAATATTATTTTTATTTAATATGTTCACTTCTGGAAAATCGCGCAACCTTTTAATAAACGGTAGAGCACAAGGAGTCGTTTAATTCAGTGTAGTAACCCGTTAGTTGCCAATTTGGTTAAGGCATTTTACCCCTGTAGAAGTCACGCGACCTAGGCGATCATGACCAAAATTTCGGTTTATCAAATCCTTACTACACGAATATATAAATTCAACAACTTGGATTCCTGAATTTTGGTTTGAACAATTTTATTCTTGATATATCATATTTTGCCACTATTTACGTTTCAAAGTTCCTTAACCTACCTGCGATATTTCTCTTTTCTTTTAATTCTTAAAACTTTGCTGAATGATTAATAACAAAAATAAAAGTAAATAAAAGTCAACAAACGGATTGGTGACGTGAGTTTGACGCGAGCTTGACTGATTAGTGACTGATCATTGACCGCTGATTGATCACTTAAATAGTAACGCATAAGCTTGCATGTACTGTATCAACAATATACCTTAATCTGATTTAAAAATTCAACATATCCTTAATTGCATTTAAGAGTGCACTGGTTCTTGAAAGTTTTAGCGTACACAAACAGGTACTTCTTATCTGAACAACAGGACACATATGCCCTCTTTTCAGAGTTTTATATATCTATTCTATTATTCAAGAGGAACTATTAACAGTTCTACTGTAGTTCTAAGTCCTTAAGCTTTCATTTGATACAAAAATGTTCTACTTTTTTTATTAAAGTTACAGCTATACAATAAGCTTTTGTAATATCTTGTTATGCTTAAGCTGAGTTGTGCTATTTTTTTCTGTCGTTTCCTCTCTGTGGAGATCCTGGACATCACACTAGTATAATTTGTCAACTTAGCTGTCTAATGTACGTCTTACAACCATACAAGGGCGTGTTAGTAAACTTTTAGGACTGTCTTAGTCAATTGTAAAATATGATACTCAAATAATCACAATGGCCTATTTCAATTCGTCCTACTCGGGTTAGTAGAGTCTGTCGAGGTACTCGACTGACAATCGAACCCCCTGAGTTTGACCTTTTGAACCTACCCGAGTTAACTCGATATCAACCCTGTGTTGGGGCTGGTTTAGTAGAGTTTCAAAATGGCGTCAAGCAGCTCCAGCAAAGAAAAGTATAATACAAAATAACGGACATTTGACAAAATACAGCTAAAGAAAGGGGCTGACAAGGGGAATTTATTTTTGCCTGTATTTTGGCATCAACAAATATTGTTCATGTGTATATTAACTGTCGGTGATGTTTATAAATATAACAGAAATTAATGTCTGGGCGTACATGGACACGGGAGTGTTTGATACATCAGCGCATCACGCTGAAAGGGATATGGTGATTTTCTCAATCTGACTGTCTGTCCGTCTGTCGCTAGGTAACCCATTAATACACCTAGACCGTTTTTCAGAAAGCTTTTAGGGAACCAACCATCTTTTGTTGTTGTGGGTGGGTTTTCTCAGAACAAATTTTTTTTTCACAATTTTTTTCAGAAACAAACTATTTTTTCCAATAGCTTACAGGATCAGGACTTTTTCTTTTTGAAACATAATGATTTTTTGTATTCTAGTATTCAGCAGAAACAATTTTTTGTTCAATTCCCATATGATACAAAATATTTTTTTCAAGAAACTCTGAATCAAACTATTTTTTTTTTAAAAATGCTTCCCTCCCTAAAAGAAGAATCATCTGTGCCTGATTCGTATATGGTTTGGATTATTGGTAATTTTATTGTCTTGACCGTACTGTACAATCAGATTCAACTGTGATTTTTGTTTTTACAGAACTTTTGGGACTATGATCTTCCATTTTGATAGTCAACTCGATGGAAGAGTTTTGATTTCGATTCGGAAAGGTTGTGCACATACGCATTAGCACTGATCTTTGAACTCGAGTCAATCCGAGCTGGACAAACTGGAGTAGGCCAATATTCATACTTGTATTCAAATGATAATAAAAAAATATTTTGTTATCAGAAGTCTGCTGTTGTTGTTCAGGTTGGAAGAGCGTCATACTTGACCTGAAGCTACTCTTTTTTAAATTGGTTTATATGAAGGACAATCGACTGGTTCCATTGTATAACGTTTAAAAATCTTGCTCTTGAACGATGTTGTGGTCCCCTGTCATAACACGTTCATATCTGAAATAAGATGTCTCATGTTAAAATAGGATTATTTCTATACAGATGTCTGATGTAATTGACAATATATAAAAAATAATAAACCACTGGGTTTTGTGTACGCATACAAAATTATATGTGGTTTTATGTGCAAATGGAGGGTGGTATATAAAAATTCATCAACGACACCAACCTAATAGTTTCATAAATAGTATAATGATTTGAAAGGTAGCGTCAATATATAAACTAGATGAAGTTATAGCATTAATACCTCTATTAATTCTTTTTTTTTTTTATTTTGAAAAATGTTCTCTATGTTATTCAGGTTTTTCAATACAGGGAGTTAGCCTATATTGACTAAAAATTGTAAGTATACGCGTACACTCAAACAGTGATCAGAAAAACGAAATTGTTTCACACTCCTTTTCAATATCATGTAATTTACAAATAGAATTTGAAACGTCTGCCATGAAACCTATTATCATGTTGTCTTTGAAGGAAAAATATATATTCGTTTAGTACAATTGTATACAATTATTTGACGGAAGTAATAACATTTCGTATTCAAGTCGAATTCAACTTAGAAGTTTCAAGCTTGGATCACCGACTTTTAATCGTTAGAGAATTTATAAACAAAAACATAATTTAGAAGAAACGCATCGTTATATTGAATATCCTTTCATTTCTAGAACTTGCCAGGTTAGTACTGAAATATCAAGTAATGACATGTGATGTGATTGCCAATGAGACAACTATCTACCAGAGTTCAATGACATAGATGTTATCATCATACATTTTTTTTCTATTTTCTCAATTGACTATTCGTGTAACAACTCATCAAAGACAAAAGGCTGGTCACTTTGTATGCCCGACTCGTTTTTTGTCTACATACGAATCATCATTAAAGAGCAGTGCAAACACAACTTCTAAATAGTTGTGCCAAATATGGGTATGGTCACCTATGTCTGATGGAATTAAAGCCTTCTTCTTACGAATTATTTTTTAGTTATATATGTAGTAAATTTACAAAAGTGACGTAAAATTTAAATTTCATAATAACAATCGAGTAGTGTTGACTATTGGGCTGGTGGAACCCTCAGTGAACAAAACGTTGATCAACAATCTCATCGACCCAAATATACCAGCCTTACAATTTTTAAGGCAAGACGCATATTTCGTCTTTCTAGTTTTCCAAAAAAGACAAATACATTTCGAAGTGGACGATCATTGAACAGTAAGCATTCTAAAAAAGCGCGACAAATCTTGCTTTGCGATTAATAACAACCAGTATTTCGAATTTTTATAAACCGGAAATACACGTATACAACATATCGCAAGAATCTTAATCAGGCAGCTTGATTTTGTTTCATACAAAAGTTACTTTCATATTGTTTTAAAGAAAATACGATCATAGGCTGTTTTTTTTTTTGTTTTTTTTTAGAATGGTGAGATGAAGCTGTTTCTTCGAGTTTTGTCTGTTGTTGTCAGTTATATTTGTAGGTTTTACGAGAATTCAAAATACGTTTATGCTTGAAAAGCAATTGTTTCAACCCAGAAATACAACCAGTGTGCTACTCGTTAACACAGAAGGATGCAAAATTATGAAACTTGATCCTTTTGATATGTCTATACGTTCGTATTTCCCAACGCGCTCAATTTTGACTTGCAGAGAGAATGAAGATATCGTGTATGTAAAACATAATACAATTTTTATTAACTGGGATTATGTACAAGCTCGGAATCCTACATTAAAATACTGTAAATATGACGTAATATGGAGACCAATAAACACCAATACTGATCACATTTTCTTTCGATTCATAAATGAGAGTAAACCTTTTACTGATAATCAAACGATCCATGATGATTTTATTAGAGTGCGATGTTTTGATAATTACAATCATGTTGTGTATAGAAATGCTTTCTCGTTTGTGCATCTTAAAAAGAAAGTAGAAAGACGATGCATTGAAAATTTTCAGAAACATTCCCACAATAGACGTCATTTGAGCATTCTTATGATTGGTGTCGATTCAATTTCCCGAAATAACATGATTCGTTATATGCCAAAAACAAGACACTTCTTATCTAAAAACCTCTCAGCATTAGATTATCTTGGATACAACAAAGTCGCCGATAACACTTTTTTGTATATGGTTCCAATGACAACAGGAAAATTTGTGCATGAATTGCCATTGAATACCTCTTTAAAAAATGTTTCATTTGACCAGTTTGATTTTATTTGGAATAAATTCTCAAAGAAAGGTTACAGAACACTTTACAGTGAAGATGCTCCCTACGGCCAGATGTTTGATTACGGAAAGGCCGGCTTTAAAAAACCAACAGCAGATTACTTTGACCGGCCACTGTCACTAGTTTTGGAAGATATGCATGATATGTGGAATACTAACCATCACTGCGTTCACGCCCGACCAGAAACTGACATTTATCTAGAATATACAAGACGTTTTATACAGAAATTTAAAACTTCTCCTTACTTTTCATTTACCTTCATTACAAGATTAACACACGACGAAATATCTAATGCTAAAACGGCTGATGATTTATACTACAGATTTTTTAAAAATTTAAGTGAGGAGTCAACTTTGAACAACACCATAATTTTTTTTTATAGCGACCATGGAATACGTTTTGGTCAATTTAGACAAACCTTTATTGGACAAATGGAAGAACGTTTGCCTTTTCTGTTCATAATTCTACCACAGTGGTTTAAAGTTAAGTATCCTGAAATATACACAAATTGTAAAACCAACCAGCAGAGGTTAATATCCCCATTTGATATATTTGAAACAATGACACACATCTTGAATTTCTATACGTACAACATTAAAAACAGCAAAATTCGACGAGGCCTAAGTCTTTTTAACGCAATACCACAAACTCGTAGATGTAAAGATGCCAATATACTTCCTCATTGGTGTACGTGCTCAACACAACATGTTTTGTCCACGGGTGATCAAACTGTTGGAAAAATTGCAAGGCATTTTATTCAAATACTTAATTCAAAAATAGCAAGCTTCAAACAATGTGAAACTTTATTTTTAAAACGTGTTATTACAGCTTCAAAATTCATTCCTACGGACGTTGTTTTAAAATATGTACAAACTTCTCATGTGGGAGAGAAATTACGCATTTTGTATGGACATCGTGTGTCAGCATATATCGATTATCAAATCTCCTTACAAACTGTACCTGGAGATGCAATGTTTGAATTTACAGTAAGATATGATGAATCAGATAGCAACTTTAATATGATGGGAGATTTCAGTCGCATTAATTTATATAACCAGACTTCCTACTGCATCAGTGGTTTTGAACTTAAAAAAATATGTTATTGTAAAGTCCAGACATAAAAACAAAAAAGCACATGCTATATAAATACTGATAAAACAAGCATAGTTCACAACAAATCAGATTAACACTATTGAAACAACTACTAATAACTTGTACTTATACACCGCTAGTATCAATGAGATCTGTTCAACGGCCTTTCTCTGGTAAACAACTCGGGTTTGTTTTTATTCTTTTTTTTTCTCCCACCACTCGAGTTGTGCTTCATCGTAGTTTGGCAAGCTGTCGATAACATGTTTGGCATATGCTATCAATCAGTTATAGTGCTTCTAAAATTTACCCTTGAATTACCAAAAACTTGTTTTCACAAGAAAAATGTGTATTGATATCACTCAACCGGAAGTGACATTTTTCAAAACAGACATGTTAGTGTATATGGCATTACGTGTATTTAATAATATTGACGGTAGTTGTTTGTTTCAGTTTTTGTTCAACAATAATTATACACCGTAACTGGATTTCAAAACCGGAAGTTATTATGTTTCAGTGGATTTTTTTCCCTGATCAATTTTTATATGATATAGGTGATAACCCTTTCATCAGAGCTTCCTTTGAAATACCCTCAATGATCAATCCCTTGGCTAATTGGTGTATAAAAATAAATTGTTGCGATATGTAGATACTGCAATTCATTTCTAACGAACTATTCTGTTGAGTTTGTCTTTCTTTGGATAATAAAAGTAAGCTGAAAACAAAGTGTGTTGTCATCTGTTCGTCTTTGCACCCGGATTTGTTTTCTCTCAATCGATTTATGATTTTTGAACACCGGTATACTACTGTTGCCTTTATTTGCATTGGCTTGAATAACATATCACTCTCAGAAATATGTCACTTGGAAATGACATTTTATAAACAGCAATTTGTCGAGTTTGTCCGGTATTTCGTGTATCGAATAACATAAGCGATACTAATTTTACTGCACCAGATGCTTATTTTAACAATAAATGTTTCTTCAGTGGTGCTAGATGTAGAAATATTTACAATAAACAAAGTTCAAATGAAGTAGATGTGAAAAAATATAGGCAACCATACGGCCTTCAACAATGAGAAAAACCGATACAGTATTGTCAACTATAAAACGGCCCCGAAATGAAAAAATATGAAACTATTCAATTGAGAAAACTAACGGCCAAATTTATCACAAAACAATTTACGAAAAAAAAATTTCGAACATGAACAAACGACAACCATTGAACTACAGGCTCCTGACTTGAGACAGGCACATGAAGGATGTGGTGGAGTTAAACATGTTTGTGAACGCTCAACCCTCCCCCTAACCTTGGATATTCGTTTTACAGCACAACATTAAAGCAAACTATTAGTTGAACAGAGCGTAACTCATCAGATCGATAAAAATGACTATTGAATGTTTTCTAAAGGATTTGTGAAGAATACATCTATGGGACAGCACCTCATTGACACATATAATCAAAAGATATCTAGATATTATCTATGGGACAGCACCTCAATGACACATAGAATCAAAAGATATCTAGATATTATCTATGGATAAGCACCTCAATGACACATATAATCAAAAGATATCTAGATATTATCTATGGATAAGTACCTCAATGACAAATATAATAAAAAAATATCTAGATATACTCAATGGGACAGCACCTCAATGACTCATATAATAAAAAGATATCTAGATATTATCTATGGATAAGCACCTCAATGACAAATACAATCAAAAGATATCTAGATATTATCTATGGGACAGCACCGGAATGACATATATAATCAAAATATATCTATATATTATATATGTGAAAGCACCTCAATGACACATATAATCAAAAGATATCTAGATATTATCTATGGGAAAACACCTCAATGACACATATTATCAAGAGATATATAGATATCATCTATAGGACAGTATCTCAATGACACAAAATCAAAAGATATCTAGATATTATCTATGGGAAAGCACCTCAATGACACATAAAATCAAAAGATATCTAGATATTATCTATGGAATAGCACCTCAATGACACATATAATCAAAAGATATCTAGATATTATCTATGGGACAGCATCTCAATGACACATATAATCAAAAGATATCTAGATATTATCTATGGGACAGCAATTCAATGACACATATCATCAAAAGATATCTATATATTATTTATGGGACATCACCTCAATGACATATATAATCAAAAGATATCTATATATTAGCTATGGGACATCACCTCAATGACACATATAATCAAAAGATATCTAGATATTAAATATGGGACAGCACTCATTGATACATATAATCAAAAGATATCTAGATATTATCTATGGGAAAGCACCTCAATGACATATATAGTCAAAAGATATATAGATATTATCTATGGGACAGAATCTCAATGACACATATAATCAAAAGATATCGAGATATTATCTATGGGACAGCACCTCAATGGCACATATAGTCAAAAGATATATTCAATTGTAGATTTTATCTATGGGATAGCACCTCAATTTTTTTCATAAAAATGACATTCTGTTTTAAAGATCAAAGTAAATATATATTTATACATGTATAATATATACGATGTCACAGAATCAAGGGTTCGAATCCCGCTGAGTGAAAACCAAGAGTTCCAAGTGGTGAAGTTGAAAACGTCCCTTCGTAAAATTTACGGACGCCATCACGAGTTTCACAGATGACAAATGATATTTTCCATTTATCGTAACTACAATCCCGACAACTTTTCCCCGAATGTGACCTACCGAAATAGACTTATCACCGGTGTTGTATTAATATGAACAACACGACTGTTGCCACATGCGGAGCAGGATCTGCTTACAATTCCGGGGCACCTAAGATCACCCCCAGTTTTTAATGAGGTTCGTGTTGCTCAGTATAATTTTCGTCTAAATCGGTCAATATAATATCATACCACAGCTCCTTATTTGTTACTGTTTACGGGTTTGGTTGGGGAGGGAGACATTATTCCTGGGAATAGTCAGAACCAGACGTGCGGATATATTATCTGGGGCAATCATGTCAAAGAGAGAGGCGAAAAAAATAAAAGGGACATTCAAACACATACGTCGAGAAAAAAACTGACAACGCCTTGGCTAAAAAGAAAAAAACAAAAAACAAACAAACAATGGTACACAAAACACAACAAAGAAAACTGAAGACTGAGCAACATGAACCCCACCAAAAACGGAAGGTGATCTCAGGTGCTCCGCAAGGGTACGCAGACCCTGCTCCATATGTCACACATGACTGGAACAGTGGCACAAAAACAGGAATGAGCTTTGGCCCCTGATAAACTTGCGTGTCTGCCGTAAATTTATATCCAGGAAACAATGTAAGCAATCAAAAGTAAAATCACATAAATACCGAACTCCAAGGAAAATTCATAACGAAACGTTCCTTATGATATAGCAAAATTAAAAGCTGAAACAAACGAATGGACAACAACTGTCATATTCCTGGCTTGGTACAGACATCTCCTTATGCAGAAAATGATGGATTAAATCTGGTTTTATAGCTAGCTCAACCTCTCACTTGTATGACAGTCATATGGAATTCCATTATATTGACAACTATGTGTGAGCAAAACAAACAGACATAATAGGTAAAAATGTCAAAAATTTGGGTACAGCAGTCCACCTTGTGTTATTATCATAATCACTATAAAAACAAAGAACTTTTTCAACAAAGAAAAACAAAATGGCATATGGACACTCTATAGACAAAGTACATAAGCAAAATGAAAGACCAGAATACAAAATTGACAATAGCACAATAACACAATGACGGGATGTATAAATACCTAGCCACGCCAAAATGTATACCAAAAATGGACCAAACAGTAAAGGTTAAAAATATACAAAGACAAATAAAAAGAACACTATAACATGTTATTAGGATGATAAACAATGTCTGTACTTAGAATCTATACTTCAAGACCAATCCATCATGTATTATTTGTGGAGTTGATACGGAATATTTATCAACAAGGTCTTGGTATCTTCCGATGAACTTTTTTAAGAAAAAGAACGAGACGTTCTTTGACAAAACCCTGGTTCAACAAGTTTTATAAAGTCAAGCAGCAGCTGCAAGCTCTTGAATACCGAATGAGTTTAGCAATGTATATCCCATATGCAGGTGAAGTTGGTATATTGCTGCTAAAGTGGGGGGAAATTTATAATTCAAAATTAAAATCGTCTCGTTTGTCATAAATTTTGTTACTAAGATGACCAATTATGTCAAATTCGAGGTATTAGTCTAAAAATGAGACGATGAAAGCCGTGTATGTTGTTTCCTTAATTTCTAGTTCTAGAGGATATATTAATGGAACCAAATTAGAAGACTTTAAATGTTAATTGAAAGAACATCATCAATATATCTGAATGTGAAATTAAATGATCTGGCTTCTTTGATCTTCTTGTTTTTGATAAGTGTATCATAGAAACTCCGACTCGTATGCAAATAAGAAGAGGTTGACAAGGAGATGCGCACAGTTCATTCCCATGAGAACGTCTGCTTATTGTAACTGTTGTGATTCGTACATGTGTCTAACATTAAACAGTGTCATTTTTCATCACTTTGATTTGCCAGTGTAGCAATTTGTATCAAACGACATTCAACCAAGGCCCAAGTCAGGAATTTAGAAGGACGAGTTATCGTTGTGCTGCATTAAAGTAATTACCATGATGTTATAGTCCAAGCACGTTATACACTTTAATAAGTAAATAGTTGTTAAGGGACAATGTTTTGGGAACCCCCATGCTACAGCTGTGTATACCTTACGAATGGTATCCCAACTCTCCCTAAATATAACTATATATGGTACTGATATAATTACTTGATTTTAAGCAATATTTAAAACCATATCGGAAGTAACAACAATATCCTTGTGTTGTCATTGAGTTATTTTGTAAAATAAAACGACACTGATTTAATAAAAAAAAACCTTGAAAAATTGATCAACGATTAAAGCATTAAATCACTATTAGAATATTGGAGAGGAACTTAAGTTCAACGCTGCCCATATAAAAACAGGACTCACTATTTTAAAAAAGAATGTTTCGTAGTGTGTTTTTCTCATTTTAGTTTTTTTACAATGAAACATTCAACGTTGCATTATAAGTATTTGGCAACGCGTATCGATCATACATTGTATTGTTGGTTGACCGTTATGGAGTAACCTTTTCACAGATGATATCGGATATGTTCCTTATGTCGTAACTACAATACCCTTCCCTTTTCACGAATGTGACTTACCGAATTAGACTATTTACCGGATTTGTAAGAACATAAGCAACACGACGGGTGACACATGTGGAGCAGGATCTGCTTACCCTTCCGGAGCACCTGAGATCACTCCCAGTTTTTGGTGGGGTTCGTGTTGCTTAGTCTTTAGTTTTCTATGTTGTGTCATCTGTACTATTATTTGTCTGTTTGTCTTTTTATTTTTGGCCATGGCGTTGTCAGTTTGTTTTCGATCTATGAGTTTGACTGTCCCTCTGGTATCTTTCGTCCCTCTTTTGTGCCACATGAGGATCAGGATCCACTTACCCTTCCGGATCACCTGAGATCACCCCAGTTATGGTGGGGTTCGTGGTGCTCAGTAATTAGTTTTCTATGTTGTGTTTTGTGTACTGCTGTTTGTCTATTGGTCTTTTTCTTTTTTTGCCATTTCGTTGTCAATTTATTTTCGACTTATGAGTTTTAATGTCCCTTTGGTATCTTTCGCCTCTCTTGTACGTAGCAACTGTTTATAAGAGCAATTCATCAAGATAATGAGAAGGGATAGCGGTTATAGAAGAACACATTTCATTTGGTTTATTCAATACCTGTTCAAACTATTGCCATATGGTATTGTGTGTAGGGGTCAAAATATACAAATTAGAACTACAATAATTTAAGTATTCTATCTCTATCTCACTATATGTATATCTTATTAACACTTGTGTAAATAAAGTAATCGAAAGAAACAACTTTACATTTACAGTTTTACTATTGACCTATATTAAGACACGACATATTTGTCCTAAAAGGCAAGAGGATGTCATTATTTCTCGTCTTTTGTAGTTATGGAAGTCTAGTATACAATACATGTATTACCTTTCCATAACACCTGAAGTCACGCCAAATTTTTGACGGGGTTCATGTTACTCAATATTTATTTTTTATTTAATATCTATGTAAATACAAATTAATTACATGGTATAATCTTACGAACAAAGTGAAACTATAATTTATGTAAAAACGATCTCGGGTTGTAAACTTTCGAGAATTTAAATTTCCTTACCCGCTCACTCGGCCAATATATTTAGTCACGTTGTAAATTTCAACAAACGTAAGAACACTGATTTTATCAGTACTTACATTCATTTTGATTTTAGTGAAATAAAATATAGCTAAAATGTATTGCTTTACTGTTATTTTGCATTGTGCAATGTCATGCTGTTGGTTGTTAACAGACTCTTTATCACTTAATTCATTGAAAAGTAAAATAACAAAAATACCGAACTCCAAGGAAAATTCAAAACCAAAAGCTCAAACATATCAAACGAAGGGAAAACAACTGTCATATTCCTGACTTGGTACAGACATTTCCTTATATGGAACATGGTGGATAACAGCTGGTTTTATAGCTAGCTAAACCTTTCACTTCTATGACAGTCGCATATAATCCCATTATATTGACAACTATTTGTGAGCAAAACAAACAGACATAAAAGGTTAAAAAGTCAAAAATTGGGGTACAGCAGTCAACTTTGTGACTATCTTAAACACTATAAAACAAACAACTATGTCATCAAAGAAAAAACAAAATTGCATATAGACAACCCACAAAAGGAAAATGAAAGACAAGAATGCAAGAAATGACCATAGCACGATAACACAATGGCAAGATATATAAATACCGAGACAGGACAAGACAATATTACCAAAAATGGACTAAACAGTAAAGGTTACAAATATACAAAGACAAATAATAGGAATACCATAACACGCAATTAAGATGATAAAAAAAACGTCAGTACCTAGAATCTATACTTCAAGACCATCATGTATTATTTGTGAAGTTAATACGGAATATTTCTCAACAAGGTCTTGGTATTCGATGACCTTTTTTAGAACGAGACGTTCATTGACATAACCCTGGTTTATCAACTTTATGCTCAGACACTGGTGAAAGATTCTAAGACCAATTTATGTTTTGCATTTTGTCTTATCAAATCCATATGTCTTCAGGGAATATATGGACCGCAAGTTCTAATGAAAAATTATCAGCACATGGACTGTATAAACCATCATAGTTATGATTTGTTACGCTATCAACATCAGAATATTTTTTTAATACTTCCGTACTGGCATAATTATATAGATATTGTTTGATACAAAATTGCTGTTATATAATTCATAAATTTGTTTAAATTAATGAATCTCCTGCATAAAAAACTATATTTTTTTTGTCCGGAATTTGCCTCTGTTGACAAATCATGTTCATTCTTCTGCGTAACATTCATAACAAACACATATGATGATGATGATGATGATCGGTACTTTGTTGTTAACTCAAATAAAATTGAGAATGGAAATGGGGAATGTGTCAAAGAGACAACAACCCGACCAAAGAGCCGAAAACAGCCGAAAGCCACCAATGGGTCCTCAACACAGCGAGAAAATCCCGCACCCGGAAGCGGGCTTCAGCTGGCCCCCTAAACAAACATGTGTACTAGTTCAATGAAAAAGGACGTCACACTAAACTCCAAAACATATAAATCAACTAAAAGTTAAAAAAAACATACAAGACTTACAAAGGCCAGAGGCTTCTGACTTTGGACAGGCGCAAAAATGCGGCGGGGTTAAAAATGTTTTGTAAGATCTATGTCTTCATCATATGAAAATCAAGCACAACTAAAGCACACTAAATATCTTTATAAGTGTTAAAGTCTTAGACTATGTAATTTAAGTGAGACTAATGTTTTCCAAAGCATACTGTAAATTAAGATATTGCTGCGTTTGGTTATGTATTATTGATTTTGAATCATATAAACACGCCCAGGATTTATATTTACTCTCCCAGTAACGGATGTAATGTATTTAAATTAAAAAGGCGACTTATCATTTATTCACATCAACAACTTCGTCATTTCCGCAATACTAAGAACTTCGCAAAACGTTTTTAAAGTGACAATAGTATGTTGATTTTATTTTACAAAAAACAAATTTGGGCGATCATAATCATAGTTTCAAGTTTATTTGTAATATGGATTACGCTTAGGCCTAGCAAAAAGATGTACTTTTCAATAGAAACAATCTCTGACTCAAAGCACACACGACGGTATCAGTTCACAATTCTTTATTATTCAGCGCCACCGTATCATACCAGTAATCTAAATATTGTTTATTATTTTCATGGCTGCGACTTTCAAAATTGTGAAATAGTATTTGATCGTTCATTTCTAAATACAAGTGATGTTGTTATATTCGAACACTCAATGATAAATGATGGTTTGCCTAAGAAGAAAAAAAACCAAACCTGGATATTTGTCACATTTGAAACTCCATACACGACACAAAATACCTACGGGAGTTTTCAATTCGACTGGACAATGTCTTATCGACATGATGCTGATGTTTTCTCGCCATATGGAATAATCAAAATACGTTCTAGTCCCAAAGGAAAAGATTATGCGTCTATATATTCAAGAAAGACACACAATGTTGTATGGATAGCTAGTAACTGTAATACAGTTTCAAAAAGGAAGTCTTACGTACTTCAGTTAGCAAAGCACATCGATGTGGATATTTATGGCAGATGTGGCCATTTCTCATGTCCGGGTACTCTCTTTGAATGCAAGAAGAAACTGAGTGAAAAATACAAATTTATCCTATCTTTCGAAAACTCTTTGTGTAAAGACTACATGACTGAAAAAATATTTTCCATCTATGGTGATGATGTAAATATCATCCCTATAGTAAGAGGTGCACCGAACGTAAGACAATATTTACCGGTTAATACTTACATTTTAACATCAAATTTTGCCTCACCACTGAAGCTGGCCAACTTCCTTAAAATGGTTGGAAATAACGAGACCTCTTATAACTCTTACCTTAAGGAAAAAGATATATATTATAACTACTCTAACCCAAATGACGAAACTGGTATGTGTAATATATGTAAACTCCTTAACAGAAGGTACAAGAGGACAAAAACTTTAAATATTCGTGAATGGCTTTGGAAGGGACAGTGTATTAATCCATCTGATGTGTAGTTGTTCCAAAATCAGGACATATTAGCAGTTAATTTTGCGATAAAAAATATTCACTTGGTCAACAGAGAATTCTACTAAAGCTAGTATGATTCTTATGCATGATGACATACTTGTATCCATAATGTTAATATTTTTTTCTATATTTATGAAACCATGCACTACAATGACCATTATGTATGTAAATAATCACCTTCAAAAGCTATTGACATCAATTAGTGATGCATTGTGTATTGCTACTGTTTACATTTAAAGTATAAGATAGACGTTGACCATTTAAGCAGAAGAAAAGCCACGCTTATAAAAAATTCCTACATGGTATTAAATATTACGTAGATACAGATGGTTGCAGTCCAAATATTACGTGCAAATGGATGTTAAAATTGAAAGCGTCGTTATCTCATGTGGACTTCATGAAACGTAACGTTAACTCTACATTAAATTTAGAAGTCACAAAATGTAAAAGTAAAAGAAGCACTCAATTCTTGTAATTACAAGTTTGAAGTACAATCATTAAATAAACAGTTACATATCAAATTGTTCGTCCGATTTCCTGTGCATTGTTGTGATGTTGTAACAGAGGCATGTGCGGTCACTAACGTTGCATTTTATTGAGAAATCTTCTTCGGAATGCCTCGGGATGGTTGGCTGCAAATCAAAATTACTCATTCTGCGAAACACGCATGTAATATAATTACATTAATGTATACCTCAGGCTGAATTGTTTTACATAATTTTTAATATACTAACTGTATTGTGAACAGAATAAATCAATACGATTTCTTTTTTAATAAAGAAGAAAAGTCCAAAGGTTTTGTTTCCTTTTTTTTTGCTCAGAAGTCATGTATCAGCATAATAATTCAGGAGTGTTTTTACAAACATTTGAAGATTTATAGATCTACGTTTACTTAATTATTTGGGAACAATTATTGAACTGTAGATACTTGTTTTTACTTTAAACATTTCATTGCATTAAAATTCACACCTTTAATACCTACGGATGGAATTTTTACACACAATTTGAGATATGTAAGTCTATAGCTACTAATAAATATATGTAATCATCAAATATATTCGAAAGGGGTCTGACACGCAAAGTATCAGATATAAATAAACCTTTTATATTACATTAATTAGATATAAGAAGATGTGGTATGAGTGCCAATGAGACAACTCTCCATCCAAGTAAAAATTTATGAAAGTAAACCATTATAGGTCACAGTACGGTCTTCAACACGGAGCCTTGGCTCACATCAAACAGTAAGCTATAAAGGGCCCCAAAAAATTACTAGTGTAAAACCAATCAAACGGGAAAACCAACGGTCTAATCTATATAAAAAACGAGAAACGAGAAACACTTATGAACCACATCAACAAAGACAACCGCAGAAGCATTGCTCAACAACTTCATCGAGCATTATGGTTTATCTAAAATAATTCACTCAGATCATAGTCCATCCTTTGAAAGTAACATCATTCAGGAACTTTGTCGTTATACAAGAATAAAAAAAGTCATGAACCACACCATAACATATGATGGGCAACGGCATGACTGATATTTAATCGAACATTACTGTCAAACACACTTGAAAGCTTATGTCGATCTGTTAGTTCATGCGTTCAGCTGCACACAACACGACGAAGCATCAGGGCAATCACCACCCTTTCTCCTGATTAGCCGAAAATCACAACTTCCGATCAACTTAGCATTTTTACTTGTAAAAGAGGAAGATAGACAACTACAAACAAGGTACATCCAGGAATGTAGAATAGACTAGTCGATGCATACAAGGTTGCTTTAGAATCAGCAAAGAAAGCTCATGAAAAGCAGAAAGAACAATATGACTTGAAAGTTAGAGGAACTGTCGTAGAAAAAGGCGTTACAGTACTAGGTAAAGATTGTTGAGTTTAATTGCATACATAACTTAAGCGATAAATGGGAGAAGGATATCTACATTGTACTTAAACAACCAAGCAAAGATAAACCCGTCTACGTTGCACAGAAAGATTGTGGCGAGAGGCGTAGGCGAACACTGCACAGGAATCTCTAACAACATGTGGAACACATTTCAGAACGTCAACAACCAATAATAGAAACACCAAGACCAGTACCTATAACAAGAACAAGAATGATAACAAAAGTCACCAATAATTTGAACAACAACTTTACCACAGAGGTAGCGATAGTAATACAGAGATATGGGAACTTCAGACACTGATTGTTCACGACTCTCCATCTAGTATTGATGATGTTAAGGAAAGTCTTGATGCAGACCCAAAAGAATTATAACCTTCTGTGCCAGATTGGGACGCCCTCTTCTCAAATACAGTTGATGATGAAGATGGCTTTAGGATACAATGAAGCGACACAGAAGTACGGAAACCTGATTTGTAGTTGATGATGAAGAGCAAGAGATGCCTTTTGAACCAGAGACGCTTGATGCAGCTTATGTCGAAGATGATACATCTCTAGTTTTGCCTCGTCGATCTGATCGAGTGATAACAGAGCCTAAGTGGTTACAGTCTTGTGATTTTGTGATGAAGTCCACATAGTGATACACCTTAGCTGCACTAGCTGTGTGGGGACAGAAGGCATATTACCTATCTAGCTGTATCGATAGATGTTTATTTTCAGGGATAGGGCCAGAAGCTGGGAAAGCTTTATTAGCTGTTTTGACTATTAGACCATTGTTGTTTTTCTTTTAGCTATATTATTGATTTAATATTATATTTGATAATATGTTGTGGATTATCCTGATTGATTTCTACACTGTATTTATCAGTGATTGCAGTATCCGAACATTGTCGTAGCAGAAATTTGATGAACCAGGGTAATGTCAAAGAACGTCTCGTCCTTTTTCGAAAAATGTTCATTCGAAGATACCTAGACCTTGTTGATAAATATTCCGTATTATATACATAATGATCTTGAAGTCTCGCCATTGTATTAGTGTGCTATGGTCAATGTGTTTAATCTTTTCGTTTGCATGTTTGCTCATGTGCTTTGTCTATATGATGTCTGTATGCCATTTTGTTTTTCCTTGTTGACATAGTTGTTTGTTTTAATAATGATTAAGATTATAAAACGATGTTGACTGCTGTACTCCTATTTGTTACAATTTTACCTCTATGTCTGTTTGTTTTGCTCACACATTGTTGTCAATATAATGATATTCTATACGACTGTCATACAAGTCAGAGGTTTAACTAGCTAAAAAACCAGGTTTATTCCACCATTTTCTACGTAAGGAAATGTCTGTACCAAGTCAGGAATATGACAGCTGTTTTTCATTCGTTTGATGTGTTTGCGCTTTTGATTTTGAAATTTGATAAGAGACTTTCTGTTTCAAATTTTCCTTGGAGTTCGGTATTTTTGTAATTTTACTTTTTGAATCATCAGATATAAAACTTTTGTCATTTTTTAAATTTTTCATAGGTATTATTTTGTCAAGTAAATGACGTGGACGTCATTTTAGATGTCATGGAAGTATGTGGTAGAGTTGTTTACATTAATTCTATTTTCTTTCAGAATAAAAAATATTGATTAAAAGTTTAATTATATGTATTTTCAAAGTTCATCAATTCTTCTATTCTCTTATGCAATCTTATTTTCTTGGTATGTTACATCTTCTTAGTACTCCTTTTTCAAGTTTGGAAGCCCTACCTCAAATATGATTTCATACACGAGTGTGTAACAAACGTGCACATCGTGACTGCAGAGGTTGCACAAGACAACATAAGGCAAGCGGTTCTGGTCACAATATAACTAAGTGTTGAGCAGACCGTCTAAAAGTTAACTTTAGAACAGGTCTGGTTCAATCGGAAAAATTGACTAAAAGGCCGAACATGACTTAATAATTTATTGGTTTCGTTTGTTTTAAGTTTGATATTATTTCTAATGTGATCCTTTTTTTACTTCCAAACATCATATTCTATATATATAAACACAAAGGTCAAATGTTAAAGCATGGCCTTTCCTGTTACGAAATGTGCTTTTCAGTGTTACTACGAAAGACTATGACACCTCGAATAATGCACATTTCCCCTTAAATCGATATTTGAAATTGAAGTAATTGAGTTTAAAACATTTATCACCGCTTATGTGCATAGAGCCCCGGGAGAATATTATCAAACTGCCAACATTTCTGGAATTGTTTTGTTTTCTAATTTTATGTTGAAGACTCATACACTCAAGATTTATCTTACGCATGTGAAACCCTGCTATGCATTTATAATTAGAACACTTAATACTAAAAGTCTCAGGGTGTCTTATTCTGAGGGGAAAAAAATAAAAACACACTTTGCCATGCCTGACATAGAGTTTTTAAGGAAGCTAGTAAATAATTAACAATATTTTTGATTGCTAAATTTAATTCAACAGCGAGGAATAAGTAACATTTTTTCAAACGATTGTAATATATACGAGTAAAAAGCCACATATTGTATGTTTCAACTGTAAATTAGAAACAACAACAGCTTGACATCTGTCTCACTAAGTATTTTTTCAAAACATGTTACAAAAATCGTTAAAGCTACTGTCTGGTCAGTTATAGCTTTTGGAAGATTTGTTAGTTTTAAAAACAAATGTTACTTGTAAAAGCTGTTGAATGGCAATCAATAAATAGTTGTATTTACCAGTTCATCATAGTAACACACTTTTATTGCAAATTTGATTTTGTTAATGACATCCTTTAAATTAGAAAAATGATGAGCTTATCTGAAAAAATCAAACAATTGCTAACCCATTTATTAATAACAACCTGTATCCAAATATGTTTTTGTTAACTTTGAAATACAGTATGTATGTTTCGTTCAGCTTTAGTTAATGACACATTACCAAGGTAGTTTTTGAAAAAGTAACTGACGAAAAAATACAACAAGGGTCGGACAACGTCGAAAGATATTAAAGATCGCAATTGCAGACGGAGTATATATCTCTCAGTTGATACGATATTTTTTAGCTTATATTTCCTATCATGATTTCTTTTATTGAGGGCTGCTGCTCACAAGGAAGCTATAATACCAAGAGTTCAAAATGATGAACAACAGATATGTTCCAATTGTCTCAACTACAATCCCATCCCCTGTCCCCCGAGTGTGACCTAGAGAATAAGGCTTATAACCGGGTTTGTTCTAACATGAGCAACACGACGGATGCCACATGTGGAGCAGGATCTGCTTACCCTTCCGGAGCACATGAGATCACACCCATATTTTGGTGAGGTTCGTGTTGCTCAGTCTTTGGTTTTCTATATTGTATTTTGTGAACTGTTGCTTGTCTGTTTGTCTTTTTTTGACCATGGCGTTGTCACTTAATTTTCGACTTGTGAGTTTAATGCCCCTTTTGTGCCCTTTGTCTCACTCTTACAGTATTCTGTTAGGTAATATGAGGGAAAATCAGGAGAACATAACATACGAGCAAGCGAAGTTAAATCGACCGTAATATACATTTTAATTGTCCGACAGTGTACATATATTGTTTTAATCATGCAATTTACATCCGGGAATTGAAATTTAGTTGTTTAATTCAAATAGTTAACTCCGATTTTCTTAAGAAATTAACATGGTTCAAAACGTGGACCGCAAAGAGGATCCAAAAATGAACAGCATGCTATTAGCTATACACATATAAGCATAACAATACAAGTGCATCATGTAGCTGTACAGCACTGATTTACTAGAGGGTAGAAAAGTACAAGAAAAGTGTAACTAAATTATTGGTAGTGACAAGCGTTTACTTTGGAATGCTTAATTTTTATTGGTAGCAAGGTAAGTACACTTACAAAACGCGACTTTTAACTGAAAAAGTGTGTAACTGTGTAGGTGCAGGATTAAATCTGAACAACTTAGTTTTGTGTTTTTCTGTATTCTAAATAACGCATTACAAAACATTCTGTGATTTTTTTTCTAAGGATTTGTAAATATAAAAAAAAACGTAATGAAAGTTTGCCGATAGTAAAAATATATTATGAATTTTAATTTACTGATTTGTTTTATTTGATGTTGTATTTGTATCCAAATTATGGGATACTCTAGAAGATAAATAGGATAGCCGAATGTTTTTGGACAATTCAAGCTTAAGATTTGTTATTGAATCAATTCAACACAAAATATGATACAAGAGTTTTACATAATATGAACTAAGTATTGCATTGCAATTGGGAATGTATGCTAACAATGATAGACACATTAAAATAAACTTAAATATGATGTACTCAAACATGTCTAATACACATATACTTTCGGTGGTGTCTGGTTGTGACTTTGTCCCATTTATATGAACAAAAACACATTAAAAGAACAAACGTTCGCGACCAAATAAGACACAATTTGATGACGAAAAATAAACGCAAACAATGAAATAATTTATATTTAAAACTACATATTAAGACGATATATGCATTCCTTTAAAACTCCAAGAACCTCTCAACATTAATATGCAATCAATTAACGTCGATCCTTTTTGTTTTCTTAAAAACGTTTATCATGTTTATAGGACTAAAATCTGTTACAAACATTACATTGTCTCCAGACTTTGATAAGGCATCCCTGTTGGTAAGTTTGTTGAACAAATGGGGAAATTGTTCAGCAAACAACAATCAAAAAGTAGTTTTACATTCTATTTCTACAAATTACTACATAATTTATTTTATGGAAAACAATTCTGACATTCACCGATTTGGGTTTGTATAACTTTTTGTTTGTTGACCTGTCCATGACCCTACTTGATTATCATTGATCATACCATTGGAACATTTTGACAAAATTTTATATCTAGCTGTAAGTATTTGTGTTCGATTTAGATTGCTTTGTTTGCTCATGCTTAAAGTTTAGGTAAATGAAAACAATAATTTTTAACTATCAAAGAGCAATTGATTTTACATTGCATCATTAAAAAAGATTATG